ATCATTCGCTGATTTGCTCTTGCCAATTCTCTTTGTTTCGTCAACACGTCTGGTTCTCTCGTCCAGCAGAAACCATTCGCGATATTTCTCGACTTTCTTCATTTGAATTTCAGCTAATTCGCGTATTGGACCCGCCTTTCCACCCGATTCGTTTGGCAACTTATCCACTGAGATGTATTTAGAAACGTTCTCTAATGATGAATAAAAATGCATCTGGAAAAATTAAATAAGTTCAGAAAAACTTGTTTGATTACTAATTGTAAGTAGAACAGTAGCAGTGAGTATAATTCTCTTAAATTCAAATTTTGATGTTACGAGCAATTATATTTGTATAATTCCGGATTTGCATGAATCTGTAAAGTTACAGTTAAAATTATTTAATTGCTACATTACATTGTTCGTTGCAAATATATATGCATTTCTTAAAAACGCCGGTATTATTAAATAATTACGCTTAAAGTTAATTAATTAATTTGTGAAACTTACTACGTCTAGTAGTTCTTTTTTCATAAAAGGTTTTATCATGTTCATTACCAATTCGATAACGGTTGGTGCGTTTATGACATGGACTTCCTTTATACAAAATGGTGCTGCTTCTTGGAGATAATATAAATATTTCTTGAATCCGAATGGATTCATTCGTGTAATATGACCAAAGGTTAAATTGCTAGCATCGAAGAAGATAACATAACCGTTCGTAGTACCATCCATCAAACAATACATGTCGTTTAACATCAGGTAATACTTAAAAGTGTCATTAAAGTCATAGAGAGAAGGATCGGTGTCTAAATATGCTCCATATAGAATTTTATAGCCATCCTTCGTTATATCTCCCAAAGGAAAATTTGTCCTTTTTAAATCAAAATAATTTATCTCAATTTATTAATATATCAGTATACATATATCAAATAATATCAAAATATTAGCAAAATTAGTCTGTAGTAGTTTTAAAAATCTACAATTAAATATTAGTACATCTATACACATTACAAAATTTGTTATTTTTTGCATAGATCTCAAAACTGTGAAGGGTAAACCCGGTATACACGCCGCACACATTAAATACTTAATTTGTCAGATATTATCTATTAAGTTAAATAAACTATGCCAGTAAAAACTTTATACTGTTTACTATTATGAAAAATTAGGAATCCAAATTATTTATTTTTTTTATTAAAAGAGACATTTCTTTAAACCATTGTATTTTTGCCTTATAAAAATAGAGGTGGATCATATGGCTACTCATGAACGGGATAAATGACTCAAAAAATATACAAATAATCTAAATAACAATAGTGAATAACACGTGATTTGACAATGTAATTTGCATTTACTCATTAATAAATAAATACAGAACGTATTATTACAGATTATGAATAAGTACATACATAAGTATATACATACATGAATGTTATGTTTAATGTATTATAAAAGGCGTATTATCACGTATTATTATTT